GGAGATGAATTGTAAAGTCTGGATATAAAATATGCAGTGGACAATTGTGTTGTGAACATTCATTTTGATTTGTATTCAGTCTATGCTAAAAGCAGTCTAATTGAACATGAACAAATGGTTATAATTATGAACAATAATTTTAGGTAGGGATTTTAGGTAGGGACGTTTTTAAAAAGTAATTTTAATGGGAACACAGCAATCAATATTTGGCTTTTAATTAGGTTTTAGTGGGGTTATTTTGTGTATTTTTGTATGATTTTTTTTTCGTATCCTGTATATTGTATTTGTGTTTTTAATATGCTGTGAACCGCCCTGAGTCCTANGGGAGAAGGGCGGTATACAAATTAAATTAACCATTAACCATTAACCATTATATTTTTCTAAGATGCTTCAGAAATAATAAATTCCGAAATGGCCATGCATAACAACAATAAAGCCAGTCCTTTACTTTCCTTACTTCTCTGTTCTCCTGAGACTAACTCTGGAAGATCTTCTAATCTTTAAAAGAAATGTATGGAGACATGATGAAGACATATGAAGAACAATCCATTACATCCAATTCTAGCTCTAACCAATATTATCAACAAATACTAGCTTTACCATAAAAATGTGTACAGAATTTCCCCCCCTGCATTCTGGAAACATTTCACAGAAAAGGAGAAAAATATTAATAAATGCTCTTGGTCAGTGCATGGTATTTTTGCACTTATTTAACTTTGAGACGGCCATTGTCAGCTTACCTGATTTCCACGGCTCAATTAAACTCTCATTGGGCCTTTTCAAATTGGAAAGTATAAACTATCGAGGGAATACTGATTTGCTGGGAGGGGGAGGTTTAAAGTGATGAAAAGATATGTAACCGAAAACAGTTCTACTAACAATCACATTTTCAGTCACCTCCAGCAATAAAATCAAAAACACTCTCAAGAGAAATCTTAAATACATTTCTGAGAAACAATTTAACAAACCGCAAGTGCTTTCATACAGAAGAAATATAGCGAAATTCAAAGGCAGGTTTCCACAAATATCCATTGCAACCGCAACATTCCCCCTGGCTATAGGGCTGTTGGCCATGCAGGCTGGGAATGAGGTGTTATTGTCTCAGTCTACCTGAAGGATTATCATGTTCGTGAGCATCAATGGGGATCACAGTTTTACTTTGGGGGGGAGGGAGAAAAAGGGCTCATATTAACTTGCAGAAAATTGGATTGAGAATAATATTATGGATGATTTATTAACAGAGATTTAATCTTTAGTGCCCTCTGCAGATTGGATCCTCCTTCCCCCCCCCAATGTTCCTCCCTTTCCTCCTTTCTTTTTATTTTTCCCCCCAAATGTTCCTCCCTGGATATTTTATCCAGTGTCTGAGACATTGTTTTTTCTGATTCTTCCTTCTGAGCCATATTAAGCATTCACATGTGTCAAAGGTGACATGCCATACATTTGGGATGACACACTAGCATTCAACAACACTACCAACAACTATATTTGAAAGAAGGCCCTCACAGGAATTTTGGAGGCTGTGTAGGCCAGGGGTAGGCAACGTTAGCTCTTTTATGATTCGTGGACTTCAACTCCCAGAATTCCTGAGCCAGCCATGCTGGCTCAGGAATTCTGGGAGTTGAAGTCCACGAGTCATAAAAGAGCCAAGGTTGCCTACCCCTGGTGTAGGCCATAGAAGAATGGGATTTGCTCTCATGTGGCTTTCTTTTTTCAGATGTTGCAGAGAGGCCTCAGAAGACCATTCCCCAAAACCACTTGAAGAACTCGTGCAAGAACTGGAGCAGCCTCTGGTAGGTCACAAAGGCCTGTCAACAGACAGAGAACATGACATAAAGGTAAGGGGCACATGGAAACGGTCTAGGACAACTCGCCATGGCCAACTTACCACAGCCAACTCACCAGAGGACAACTTGCTGAGGGACAAAAGTTACATAATATCAAAAAAAATGGATGGTAGAATAGAATCGTTAAAGAAAGGATGCAAAAGGAGGGACAAAATGAAATGCGAATGACAAAAATTAAAACACATTTTTAATTATTTTAAATTATTAAATAAAATTGTTGAATTGTCCTGCAGTGAGTTGTCCTTTAGCCATGACGAGTTGGCCAGTGGCAAGTTGGCCCTGGCAAGTTGGCTGTGGTGAGTCATCCCATTTCGCATGGAAGATCCTGAGGAGTGCTGAGCTGCAGGGGCAATCACACCATTCCCGAGGCTCACATGCCTCGGGGAATGGGGCAAAGCAGCCTTTTTGAGTGGCAGAAGTGCTGCTAGGGATACTTAAGGCCCAGCCTCAGTACTACCACTGAGTGCCATTGTTCAGAGTGACCTAGATGGGGGGGTATCAAATTGTTTTTCTTTTGTTGGGGGGGGGAGTGACATGTCAAGTTAGCTACTTTCTGAATTTTTGACACACTGAAACCAAAAGGTTTGCTATCACTGCACTAAGATATTCTTAGTGTAATATTTACTGTGGTTTGATGTAGTTTCTTTAAAAAAACTGGTTATCTTATACTGTTACTGCTGCTCCCCTTCTCTTTATTAATTTAATACCTTCTTGTATGGCTTTCCTTCTGTTTTAGGTTACACACTTGCCTTAGAGCACTGTTGTGTGGGGTCATTCCCTCTGCATTGTTTATTTTGTAAGGATGTTGTATTCATATCTGGGGGAAGGCAGTTATATGTCTATTAACAAAAAATATGCATTTATATTTATTGGAATACATGTTAGAATGTATTTTGTATTGCAACAACTACAGAATTATTCAGCCACTAGATGGCAGTGTTTAGTTTGCATCTATGGTTATAATCTATGGTTCCATTATATTCTGAGGAGAGTTTCCTGTGGCAGTTGAAACTGTTAAGCAGCAAGGATCATGCTGACTGTACACTGTACACTTTATTTGATCTGTATGGCTATATAATAATCCTCTGCTACCATTTCTATAGAATAAAACAGAATTTCTAACAATATTAGTAGCAGCATTTGAGAGTAGGAGAATATACTGATCTAATGTAGCATACCCAGCAGACTTTTAATGTTTGAAGTGGACATTATTTTTATTTCCCCAGAATAGGAAAATACAATGAGGAAATTACACCTGATTATCACAGGTGATTGCTACTTGATCCAAATATTTCATTAAATATTGTGCAGGGCTTTAACTAGAGGGAGAAAATATTACTATTTGCCATCTGAATCCACCGAGAGAAAAAGTTGTTCCAGAATGTGGAATGGAAATTAACTTTCTACATGTACTTTTCTTGTTCAGATGAAGCATTGTAGATGAAGCATTAAAAGGGGTGTTTTGAACATGGGGTGGGGTGGGGCGGTGAGAGCAGCTAAGAATTGTTAAAGAACAAATCAAATATTTCTAGCTGCTGGGCTTGTTATATTTTAATTTTTATTTATTGTTTTATTGCTTTGTAAAATAGTGAGCAAAGAAAGAAAGAAAAACTCCAAAGACTTATTGTATTTTGTGTAAAAGGGTCCAATATTTCATTATATTTGTGTCAAGTGCAAGAAACCAGGTCCACACATTATGGTTCAAATTAACTGATTTATTGCCAAAAGCCTATGCACATAAATCTTCTCAACTAATAGTCAGCATCTGGTTAGAACCAGATCAGGATCAATGGTATTCAAGGAGGTTTGGACTTATTTGATTCTGGCTATGTAACAACTCTAAACTGATCCCTCTTTTCACTCTTTCTCCTTGGCTAGTCTAAAGAAAAGAAGAAATAGGGGAGACATGATAGCAGTATTCCAGTTTCTGAAGGGCTGCCACAAGGAAGAGGGGGTCATGTTGTTCACCAGAGCACCAGAGGGAAGGACAAGAAACAATAGTTGGAAACTGATCAAAGAGAGAAGCAATCTGGAGAAACTTCCTGACAGTGAGAACAGCTTGCTTCCAGAAATCATGGGTGCTCCATCACTGGAGATTTTTAAGAAGAGACTGGACAGTCACCTGTCTGAAATGGTATAAGTTCTCCTGTTTGAGCAGGGGGCTGGACTAGAAGATCTCCAAGGTCCCTTCCTATTCTATTCTATTCTATTCTATTCTATTCTATTCTATTCTATTCTCCTACAATTTGTCCATCTCAAGTCTACATTTCAAAGTCTACATTCGTAGATGGCAAGTTCAATCAGATCTTCAATCCATTAAGTGAATGGGGCTATGCATTTTTCTTTCTAATGTTGCAGTATCAGTCTTTTGGCTATAATAAGGGCATGGAGAATCCACTTGCATTGTCCAGTTGTCAAAATTCAATTACTAGGTATATAAGTACAAAAGAAAATTATGATCTGAAAATGTTTGTTTTTGCTGTACAATTATATTTTCTCCCAAAACATGATAAATGTAAGACACCCTTATTACATCTCTAACTAAATGATGTTTTTTGACAATCCTTTTCTATACAAATGTAATGGAGACCAGTAAATTACTATTATTTTTTTGTATACATCAGTGGATTTGAGTCCATTGATACTTTGCTATATAAATTAAAACACTCTCCCATTGTCTAGACCAGGGGTGTCAAACTGCCGGCCCATGGGCCGGACGGGTCAGGCGGAAGCTGTGCCACCCCATTGCCGGCAATGACAAAACAGTCCCGATATGTTGCGCGACGTCACGTGACGTCACGAGTTTGACATGTCTGGTCTAGACAATGTGGGATTTTTCATTCCACTAATTTTGTAGCATCTGCATATTAGATTGATAGAAAATAACTATTGAAACTAATAGTAGGTTCCAATGTCTCAGGTTTATTAAATCAAATGGGTAAAGCTACAAGGACAGTGCCACAGGGAGGGAGGGGGTGTTCACCCTATTCCATAGCCATCGATGGTAGCAACTAAAGCCCTCAAAAATAACTCTACACGTCCCCCAACTCCATTGCATAATATACTTCCATTGGTGCTCCAGAGAAGCTCAGGGTCGCAACTGGCCACTGTTCGCATAGTCCCACCCATCATCCTGTGCCGAGTGTCCACTGTTTAATGTTGCCTTTGCCGGAAAGAGCACCCTTCTGTCAACCTTGCCTTTCCACCAGTGGGCTGGCACAGCACAGTCGAGCAGCCAACACACAACACAACTGTCTGGGAGTGACTGAAAACCGTGGTGGTTTTGTAGCAACCCAGGCACTTGATGTCCATAAAGTAGGAGTTGGGGCTCTGCACCAGGTGCTTCTTCTTGTGCTTCCGCTTCTCCTCCTTGGGTGAGGGGTGCAGGAGGTCCTTTGCGAGCGTCATGTTCACGTGGAGGCAGCTGCGGACCGAAAGGAGGCTGGCCGGAAGGAGAGCACGCTATATCCGCTGCCAATGTCTCAGGTGTCTCAGAAGCTGAAAATGCTGCTGGTTCAAACAATGTTGTTAACAAATGTAACTAAATATTGACATTGGATTACATCTGGTAGATGATATTTGTCTCCTAACACAGAGCATGTTAGATATTCATCTTTATCAATTCATCCAAAGTTAATATCCCTGCTTCCATCCAATTTTTCCATATCATCTTTTCCCCAATATTTAAAGTTGGGGTCCCCATAAAGTCAATTTAGCAAAGGAAAAAAGGTTGAATATTTTTATTAGACATTATGTTTCATAGTTTTCTAACTAATGCAATTGTTTCCAGAGTTCTAATGTTTTTGTATATTTAGATCCTAAAACTATCCATTCAGCCAAGGATGCTATATATGTATATCCCAAAATTGCCTAAAGTGAAAAATTAACACCAATTGTTGGCTTCCAGTATTTAATTCTAGACAACAGGTAAGCTTGATAATATAGCTCCAGATCTGGAAAACTGAATCCTCCCTCATTAATTGGTAATTGTATTTTCTGTAACAATATAAAGCTCAATGAATCCTGTAGAAATTTTCTAAATGAATTTTCTAAACAATTTTCTGAAAACATTTTCCATATGTAAAAACTGGAATTCCCTTCAGAATATAAATTAATCAGCACTTATTGTTTATTTAAACCTTGGGTAAGGTTTAATGATCCCATCTATTAATATCTGAAGAAATCTCTCTCTAGATTGTATTTATATTACATGTTACTACCTGAATTATGTCCTTTAGTAGAGACAAGCTATATTTTCAATGGATTCAGTACAAATGGAGAATTGATATTCCTTAAATGGACAGCTAACCAGATTTTCACCTATAGACATCAATTCTGATTTGGACTAATAGAGTTGATAGAGTATCCTGCTATATTACTAAAGGCATCTATCTTTTTTTAGCATCAACACTGGCATAGTAGTATAGGTTGATAAATAAACAAAAGAATGTCATCTGCAAATAAAATCAATTTATTTGGTTATGTGCCACTTCATAGATCTCCCAATGTAGTCTAATAGCACAAGTCAAGGGTTCCAGGCAGCTATTAAAAGCAAGGATGAAAATGGACATCCTTGTCTAGTTCCTCCATATAGTGGAAAAGCAGAAGAAAACATGCTATTAACCTTTTAGTTGTGGGTGACTCATAGTATCTTAATCCGTTTTGTGAATTTCAAAGGAAATCTAAATCTATTTAGTACAGCAAACATGCATTTTGTCAAAGGCCTTTTCAGCGTCTAATGATAAAATTGCATATTGATCTTTATTTTTACTCAAGTCTATTAGATCTTCGACTAACCTAATATTGTCTGCTGCTTGCCTAGCTTTTATAAACCCTGATTGATCATTCTTAATAACAAATGTTTGTATTTATTATGTTTTCTAATAAAACGCAGCAGTGGCTTGCATTTATATATGTAGCCATAATTCTGAACTGGGGACCAATGATACATTTTTATTAAAAAATGACAGAGGTCAGAAATCACATCACTCACAAATCTTATAACTTGGGCAAGCATCAACCATATGGTGCCAGAAGGCAATACCTATAAGAAAGTTTAATCTTTGAATTAAAGAGTCTTTGAGAGATGCTTTATGGTAATAATGTGTTGCATTTCTTCAAAACATGATAAGCCGATGGCATTTGATTAATGAGTCTTATATCTTCCCCATTAAGTTGCAATGTGCATAATTTTGATCTATGGAAAGGATGGATTGCAGAATTTTAAGAAATCATCACGGCTTGTACATGATGTGTACTTTCATACAGAATATCCATTGATCTGAAACTCAACCTCCAGAATGGTTATCTGGATACATCCTTCCTTAGCTTTACAATGTTGATTTGAAAGATGAATGCAGACTGTGGACCTTGTAACTCTGACTTCAAAATCTCAATCAATATTTTATACTTTGTGTGGTTTTTGAAATACAAGTGGAGTCTGGAGCATTCTAATCTTCTCACCTTAAACTGAAAAGTCTTTTACTCTTGAATTCTAGCAGCATTTCTTCATGGCAATTTTTAATCAATAAAAACATGCATTGATTTACAGGAATGCTTTTAGTCCTGAGCTGAGATCTCAAGAAGAAGCTAGAAGCCTGTCTGCTAAAGGATCGAGAGATTGGCAAGTTTAGTGATTCACTGAATGAAAATGACTGAATTTGCTTATGGATATATCTGCATTTGGAGCATCTCCATTTTATGATTAAGCTGTAGAAGCTGAGTGCATTGGGAATGGCTTGTAGGCAGCATGGATGGCAGTAAAGCTGAGTTCACTACTTGTCAGCTGCCACCTCAGGCTTGCTTGTGCTTCATTGATATGCGGTGCCAGTCTGCCATAACCTATGAAGAAGGGGGACAAAGGGGGGAATGCTTGGGAAACCAAAAGTAGATGCTGTGCCATCTCGAGAAGCTGCTTCAAGGTCACCCAGCTGGATAGGTAGAAGCTTCTCTACTTCTCTTCTTAATGAAGTTGCTTATTTTTGAAGATAGGAAAGTGTTGCTTGTGAAGTCCAAGAGAAGTGGTGTTTGTGTGTGATGTTTCACTTGAGTTTAGAGAATGTCAGTGCTACCTGAAAGCAGAATATTCTCTATTCCTCTCTATTCTAATTTAAAGTGATTCATTGGAAAGCTCTTGAATTTTGGATAGAGACTAAAGTCCCTAAAGTGAAAATGAAATTGGGTTTATCCTAGAGACAATGGATTGCCTACAAAAAGATTGTGGGGAAAAATTTTAGAACACTAAATTTTAGACAAATGTGAAGAGATCTTGAGTAAGTTCCTAAAAATGACCTGATATATTATGAACATCAGGTTTCATGAAACTGAAATACTGTATATAGCTTTTATTTTATGAGCAACATAATGTTCAGAAGAGTAATACTAGAATCTAAAAACTCCAATATTATGAGGCACTCTTTATTTAATGTCTCTGTCAGGCTGGCATCGAGTTGGCCTACAGATAGTCCAGCAATTTGCCCTCAGGCAAAGCGTTTATGAAAACTTTAAAAATTTAAGCTGCCCTGAGAAATGATTTATTGCTCAGAGTTCTAGAAGTCCAGAGACCCTACTTGTTCTCTATGTCACTTGATCCCATTGGGCATGTATATCCTGGCATCATTTAAGGCAATAGCAGCAAGAGTAACAGAGATCAGCCAAGCAAACTTATTTGATTTCAACTGCTCCGATGAGACAAGACATTAAGGTACTGCTCCAATCTAGAAATCTTCAGTTCAAGGCATCTTGTACCTTAGAATTTTTAAGTCCATGTACATTCCAGTTGATATGTGGATTATCAGGCTTCTTCCTCCGCCTCGTCCCTTTTTCCCTCAGAAACATACTTTTCTTTTTACATCTATGCACTTTTTCTCTTTCACAAAGAGAATGGAACATTCCTGTGGGATGGGGCTGTTTCTATGTACTCTGCTTTACTGTCCATATTGATTATTCATTACAACAAAGGTATCCATTGCTAACTGTTCCCAAATGCTGATATGGGCATGGTGCAATCTCAGCCTTTACATGTTGCATCCAGATGCAAGTATCGAAACCAGAGTTTTGTATCCTGACGCATAGTTTCTCATTTGCTTCCTCTTGCCCATTCCCCATGGATATCTGTGATAGCAAAGGACAATATACAGGCAGTTCTTGGCTTACACCTATTCATTCAGCAACCTTTAAAGTTACAACAGTGCTGAGAAAATGCTTATATGACCTTTCCTTGAAGTTCTGGCCATTGTAGCAACCCCACAGCCACAGGTTCACAATCTGGGTGCTTAAGTGCCCGGCCTTTGATTATGACATCACAAGGAGCCACAGCCACATGACCACCATTTGCAACTTCTCTACCTGCTTCCCTCAAGCAAAGTCAATGGTGAAGCTCTCCAGAAAAGTGTCAAGTTGATCTGGTAAATCACTCCTGTTTTTTCTTCCACCAGCAGCACCCATCCCACCCACCTATGGCCTGTGCTGGCCCTTTCCTGTCTTCCCCTGACTCCTGCATGACCTTTGCCAGCTGTCCCCCCCCAACCTCCCCTGACTTGCACATGGCCTGTACCAGTGGTGGGATTCAAATATGTGAACAACCGGTGTGGGTGTCACTTCCGGAAGTCCATTCTGAGCTTGGGCAACAAAATATTAGCTACCAGTTCTGCCCAAGTGATGCGAACTGGCTGAATCCCGCCACTGGCCTGTACCCTCCATGGCATCCTCACAATACTTACCTGGGAATTCTGCCTCCGCCCTCTTAATGACACATGTGTCTTGAGGTTACAAGAGTAATTGAGACTGCTGGGATTGGCATTGCTAAGCGATACGGCCGTGTGATGTTGTCCGTCACAACTGCATCGCTTAGCGATGGCAGGACCAATCACAGTTATTGTTATAACCCGAGGACTTCCTGTAGTTTGTATTTTGCTGTGTGTTATATTGATTTATATTATTAGAATAAAAATCATTCGTAAAACCAAACACTGTTGCCAAACAGATCTAGCCATCCTTCTTCTTCTTCTTTGCAAAATGTTTTATGTCCTTTTTCTTTTTTTATTTACCAATCTTCCAGATCAAATATGGTTGCTCTTTTTTTTTTTTTGGCTTCTTGCTAAAGTAGTCTGCAAGATCTCAGCAATTTCCAGTTCTTTTTATAGTGAAGTATTTTGCCTGTGAGGATGATCCCCATCAAACATGACCTTTATGAAAGTTTGCATTGCTGTGCTATAAAATAAATATGAGGAACTTGGTTTGAGATTAGCACTGGTGTCAGTCAGAGATTGCTTATGCTGTATCTGCTATACTTCAATCACAGATCGGACAATAAGGAACTCAGCATGTGGCAAAAACTTTGAAGTCAACACTTCCAAGAAACAGCCACCTGTAGTATTAAAATGGGCTTTTTTTGTACTCAGCAGAGC